AGCCTTGTGTCGGGAGGGTGGGATCAGCAGCTCCTTACTCACGGCAGCAGCGGTGGCTCACCTGAGCACGCCGGGCGACTGAGTCACCGCTGCCACCGTGACTAAGGCTGAGCCGCTCGGCCCCGCGGGGCTCGGGGGATGGGGAGGGGGCGCCGGGACCCCCAGCCCAGCACCGCTCCCACCGCGGCGGTGCCGGCGGTGCCCTGGTGGGCTGGGCCGGCCGGGCGGGTGGAGGTGCAGTGGTTCGGCTGCACCCTCCTGCCGGGGTGTGCCCCGCATGATCCCGGCCGCTGGCCCCGCGCCCGTGGGAACGCTCCCACTCGCTGCGGCGAGCTCCGTTCGAGGCCCCAGCTGGGCACCGCGGGCCTGGGAGCCCTTTGGAAGCCACAGCATCGCTCCCCTTCCCAGGCTGAGGGCTGAGAGAGGAAAAAGATCCCCGTCCCACCTGGGTCCCCCCCCAGGCTGTAGGCCGGCGTCTGCTGCAGCCACAGGAGCGAGAAACGCCCCCTCTTCCCTCCTCTCCCTGTTCTGGAACCGGAGTCAGCTCTGCCCTAATCCCATGACCCCGCGCCTGCGAGTGGAATGCAGAGACTTGCGATAAAATTCCCAGTTTGCCAAAGCTGTGGAATCAGCCAAGAATTCAGTCCAGAAGAGGAGGGGGGGTGGAGTAGAAAAAGAGAGAGAAAAGAGAAAAGCTGCTGCCCGGGGCTGGTGGGGGATTTCCCCGAAGAAGGAGGGCTGGGAATTCCCTTCCTTCGAGGGAGAGAACTTCGAAGAACCAGCCTCCAAAAGATTCGGGGCTCCCAGCAGGAGCTGGGGCCAGCAGGACCGTGGTGTTGGCTTCTCTGTGTCCCACGGTCCTGCCCTGGCTTTGCCGTGACACCGGGACGTGCCCGGTGGCCAGGCCCCGTGGGAAGTGTCCCGGCAGGACCCGGGTAAGCCCCTCTGCTCCAGCCCGCGCCCGCGCTGCCCTCCCGGGTGCGTGAGCCTCCGCGGGGGCTAATCCCAGGGCCCAGGTTAGCTAAGCGGATTGCGGGAGCTGCGTGTGGCCTGCAGCGGGATTTGTGTAGGTATTTGCTCATCGGATCGTCTCTCCCCGAGCTGCTCAGCCGTGCGGGGTTTGGAGAACGCTCCCTCTGGAGACGCAGGAGCCTCGGATGCCACGCAGCAATTATGCCCAAGTCTGCCTGTAATCTTTAACGATTTATTCCCAGGGCAACACAATAAACTAAACACACAAAATCCAGGCTGCTGGGAATCCTAGGATCTCCCAGCTTGTGTCTCTAGAGGTTCCAGACACCTTCAACCATACTGAAATCTGCACACACTTCCTAAAGCACCAGCTCCTGGAGTCATGGGATTGCCGGAGGAGATGAGCTTCCTCCCAGGAAGGAGATGGAGCCGTGTGAGGAGGGTGGTGACTGGGAAAGGGGCTCTTCAGGGCTGCCAGGATGTGGGGAGATGCCCTGCCCTTGGGGCACGGCTGCTCTGCCAAAGAACCCACACTCCCAGCCATGGCCACAATGTCCCCTTGTCCCTCCCCACCGATCGGGGCTGGGAGCTGGCAGCCAGACCCTGCTCCCTGCGGGAGTGGCTCTGGTGTGACACCTTGCCCCCACCATGGCCCCTGAGATGTGGCAGGGCCAAACCTGTGGCCCTGGCTGTCCCCTCTCCTCGCTGCTCCAGGGCCTCAACCCCGCACAGCCAGCTGGGGATGTGGCCCCCCAAGGGGCGGCTTCGCAGGCCCGGGGCTCCGCAGCTCTCGGGGAGAACAATGGCGCATCCCTGCCCCGGCCCCTCTCCCAGGGACAACAATGGCAGGAGCCGGAGTCGGAGCCGCCTGAGCTCATCTCCCCCCGAGAGCTTGGAGGGGGCTGGGGCGGGCGGGGGGCCGTGGGCAGAACGACAAAGGCTTCCTCCCAGCCCGGCTCTCTGCCTTGCACGAGTGGACTCGCTCCCACCCAGCCATCTGCACCCACCCCAGGGGAGGGAGAGACACAGCAGCAGCATTTTGGGGATTCAGAGAGGCCCCCCCCTTGGCTCCTGCCAGGCCCCGGCGCTGCTGCCTCACGGGTCGGGTCTCCTCATTGCAGACTGGCCGCCAGATCCCCTCTCCAGCTGCTTTGTGTCTCGGTGTGCCAGGGCATTGTCTGCGAGGGAGAGACCCGGCGAGGCAGCCCGAGGTCACGAGCATCTCCCCAGCACCCTCCCTGTGCACGGGGCGGCCGCTGGCCCGGGAGGAAGCAGCTTCTGCCCGGTGGCACCCGGGGGCATCGTGCCCCGGAACTGGTGCCCAGCAGCCCCTTTCTCCCTTGCTCTAAAGACCTAAGTCTGTGTCCTTGCTGGGAAGTGCGTGGTTGGGCGGAGGGAATCCCTGGGGGAGGAATGGTCCAACCTTGTTATTAGACATCAGAGAGTCTCGGTATTAGACATCACTGAGTCTCCACAGGCAGCAGCAGCAGCAGCTTTGACGCTTGGCTCCCAAGGAGAGCTCAGCCCATCCGTTCCCTGCCCACGGACTGACTTTGACCCCGGTAACGGGGCACGCGGAGGGGGAGAGGTGTCCGGTCTGTCCCCTCCCCACGGTCCGTGGAGGGCAGGTCGCCCCTGCCCTGTCTGGAGCGGCGGCAGAGCCGGGACCCCGGCAGAGACTGAGACGCCCCCGGTGGGCTGATACCGAGATCAGAGGACGGCGAGTCGGGATCCCGGAAGCGGGATCCGAAACGAGGGGTTAAGGGCTGGGACCCCTCGTACAGGACTGAGACCCGGGGGCAAGGACCGAGACCCCCCGCGGGAGCAGGTGCGGGTACCGCCGGGCCAGGGGCCGTGGCCGTTGCTGGGGCCGTTGCCGGGGCCAGACCGGTCCCTGCCCGGTCCCTGCCCCCGGCAGGCTCCACCCCGGGCGGTGCGGGATAAAACTTGGGGCACCTCCCCGGCAGCTCCGCGTCAGGGCTGCGCTCGGACCGGCTGCAGCAGTCAGGAGGTGACACTGCACCGACCACCACCTCCCCTCGGGACGTTTCTGGGGTCCCTCTCCCTCTTCCTGCCACCGGAGGTAGCTGAGCTCCCGCCGCGCCGGGATCCGCGGGGCCGTGCTCGGTGAGTAGAGCCGCGCCGGGCTGGAGGGGGCCCGGGTCGGGCTGCGGGGGGGATCCGCGGACGGGGACCGCGCTCTCTCGGTTGCTTTTCCCGGAGCGGGAGGGGTGGCCCCGCTTTCCCGGGGCTCCCGGGGGACGCACGGCAGAGCCCCTCTTCGGTTGTTCGGGAGCTCTGATTGCCCTCAGAGACCCTCCGTGTCCTCGGTCACCTGGAGCTTTGCCTGCCTCCGGGGAACGGGAGCGGGATCGGTTCCCCTCGCTCCAGCTGTCGGGACCCCGGTGTGCCCGCTCGGCTCCCGCCGTGTCCCGGGGAGCGGCTCCTCGCTCCCAAGACCCAGCGTTCTGGAGGGGGGGGCTTCCCGGGCAGGGGTCCTCCAGTCCGCTGGGCGAGCAGCGGCTCCGGGGCGCACCGCGGCCGGGCCGGTCGGTCGCTCGGTAAGGGCTCCCCGGTGTCTCGGTAAGGGCTCCCCGGCGCGCCGCCGGTGCGGCCCCCGCGGCCCCCCCGGGCGCAGGAGGCGCAGCGGGGCCGGTAGAGGGCGCCCGCGCTTTGCTGACTCATAGCCCCCCCCCCCCGGTGCGGGTGCCGGGACGGGGCCCCGGGGCTGCGGGGTGTCCGTTCCACCCCCCGGGCGGCGGCAGGCGGGGCTGGGGTGGAGGTTTCAGCTGCGGGACTGGGGAGGGGGGGCAAGAGCGTGCTGGAGTGTACAGGGGGCTCAACCCCTCATCGGGACAGTTCCCCGTAGCTGTAACGGCGTCACCGGGAGGGTGACCGGGCGGGTGCGTGTGACCCGGCGGGTGTGACCGGCCGCGGGTGACTGTACGTGTCCCCCCCGCCCTTTCCGCCTCTGTGCCCCGGCGTCACTCGGCTCCGGAGGCTCCAGCTCCCGCCCGGCCCCGCGGGCAGTCACCTCCCGCCGCGGCCTCCTCCGGTGCGGGGGCCGCTCACCGCCCCCGCCGCGGCGCTCCGGGCCGGCGCCTGCCCATGTCCCGCGTTCACCCCACCGCGGCACCCGAGCCTCGCACGCCAACGCCATCGGCTGCCCGGTTCGGGGCGGCCCGGCGGGTACCCAGCGCTACCGGAGCCCGGCCGGACCCCCGAACCCCCCGCGCCCCTTTGTTGTGCGCCGGGATTATGAATGGCTCCAGGCGCGGCGCGAGGGCGCGCGGGGGGCGGGGCCGGGGGCGGGGCCGCGCGGCCGCGTGGGCGGGAGGAATCCGGCCGGACCGCCCCGCCCACCGGGCCACGTGGGGAAGGTGCGCCCGCCTCCCATTGGCCGGCGCCGCGGATGTCTGGGCGCTCGGCGCGCTCCCATTGGCCGCGGCCGCCGGAGGAGCCGGAGTGAATGAGGGCGAGGCCCCGCCCGCGGGACGTTGCTACATTGTAACTTCCCTCCCCCCCCCGGTGCTCCCACGGCAGCGCGAGCGGCGGCCGGTTCGGCGGGTCCGGCCCCAGAGAAGGGGGAGCGAGGCGGCCTCCCCGCCCCTCGCCGCGGCCTCGGGCCTCACCCCGCCCCCAGACACCCCGCACCGAGAGCACAGAGCGGCGGCGAGGAGAAAGAAAGGAGGCGGCAGGCAGGGGCAGGCAGCACCGCTTCCACCGCCCCCCCCTCCGTTCCCGCGGCAGCCAGCCACCGGAGCGGGGCGAGAACGGGAGATTTTGTATTTTTTATTTTTATATATATATATTTTATTTTCTCCGCCCGGGCCGCAGAAGGCACGGCCGGTGCAGCCCTGCTTGGGGACCCTACTCTAGCCGCCCCCCGCCTCCTCCCGGCCCCCGCCCGAGGCCTCGCCGCGCAACCGGAGCTCCCGTGGGTCCCACCGGGCGTGTGGCGGAGCGGGCCGCGCTCCCTCCTTTGTCCGCTCCTGCCGCCCCCCCCCGCCGCGTCCCGCCGTCGCCCCCCGACACCGACCACCGCTGCCCCCGCAGGTCGGCGGATGGACCCGCAGCCCGGCGCCAGGAGCTGCAGCCGCGGGGCTCCCGCCTGCGAGGTGGGGCCACCCGAACCCCCCATGAACCTCTACATCCACACCACCACCGGCACCCGCTATGAGCTCTCGGTGCCCGCCGAGGAGACAGTGGAGGGGCTGAAGCGGCGGCTGTCCCAGCGCCTCAAGGTGCCCAAGGAGCGTCTGGCGCTGCTGCACAAAGAGAGGTACGGCACGGCTCAGTACGGGGGGGCTCGGCACGGCTCAGTACGGGGGGGCTCGGCGCGGCTCGGGAGGCCCGGGGTCCCCAGCCCCCGACAGCGGGGCTGGGCGCGGGGGCGGCCCCCTCGCACCGGGCTCGGCACCGCACAAAGGCTCCCGCCCCCTCCCCCTTCCCGGCCCCATTCCTGTGCGGGGCGGGGGGGGGGGCAGCCCGGGGGGCCGCGGCGGGGGCGAGCGGGGGCCGGGCCGGAGGGAGGGAAGGAGGGAGGGGGTGCTCCGGGGCGGAGAGAGGGAGGGAGGGGGGCGCCGAGCCGGGCCGGGAGCGCGGCCGCCGCCCCCTCGCCCGGCCCTGCCGGGGCTCCTTTGTGGGCGGCGGGGCCCGGCCTTGCCCCGGCCCTTTGTTCTGGGCTCAGCCCCGGCGGCGGCGCGGCCCGGCCCCCCCTGAGCCCCCAGCGCCGGGGGCGGCGGGGGGGCCTTTGTCTGCCGGGGGCCCGGGCCGAGGGGCTGCGCACCCCCCGCGTGGAGCGGGGCCGGGCCAGGAGTAACTTGGAGAGTCTTTCCCGGATCAGAGAGGAAGGGGGGGGACACACGGGGACACCACATCCATCTGCCGGCACCCGAGGGGTTGAAGGGAGCACGTTCCCAGTGCTGCCTCCCCCACCTACACTGGTCCCAACTTCTCTCTGACCGCCCCCCCAGTGGCCAGGTTTCTGTGCCATGCACCCTTTGCTCCCACTCCCCCGCACCAAGCTCTTCTCTGGCCCCCATGAGCACTGCCCCACACCGTGAGCTCCCCTGGGGGGCAGCTGAGCAGTGGGGTGCCAGGGTTCCCTCCTGCCTGTGCAGGCTGGGAATTTCTTAAGGTAGGGGTGCTTGGGGGTGTTAGTCCCCTGGGAGCAGCCAGATATGCAGCTGGTGTCCCCGTCTCGTGTGTGCCCTCTGAGGGGGCTGCCCGACCTGCACTGACCCTGCTTTTGGCGTCTCCTCCCACAGCCGCCTCAGCTCTGGCAAACTGCAGGACCTGGGGGTCGTGGAAGGCAGCAAGCTGACACTGGTGCCCACCGTGGAGGCCGGCTTGATGGTGAGTGGCCTTTTCCTGCTGCTCTCTCCATCCCACCCACTCGTCCCTGTCTATTATTAAAGCCCCGGGCAAAGATGAGGATGAGGATGTGATGTGCTGGCAGCCCTGCGGCTCTGCTGCCCCAGCTTTGGCTGAGGAGGCAGTGCTGGGTTGGGCACGGCAGCAGGTTTAGTATTTCACTCCTTTCTCAGGGCTTGTGTAGAAATAGTGGAAGTGACATGTCATCCCTCCCTCCTGCTGCGGACGCCCCCTCCTTCGCTGCATTTGTAACGTTAATCCCCCCCCCCTCCTCCTTTTTTTTCCAGTCCCAGGCGTCCAGGCCAGAACAGTCGGTGATGCAAGCTCTGGAAAGCTTAACTGAAACTCAGGTGAGGGGCTGGATGCCGGGGCAGGATGAAGACAAAGGCGGAGGGTGGGAGGGGAGAGGAAGGACAGCTGCGGCCTGGCTTTGCTTCCCCTCCCAAAAGCTTTGGCGTTGGTGCCTCGCTGAGGTTTCACCTTCAGCAGGGCTGGGAGCGCTGAGGGTGGTGCCCGGGGCGGGCACCGTCACCCTGTGCAGCGCCGGGCTCAGGGAGGTCCCACGCCGCAGCCTCGCAGCCCAAACAAGCCGGGAGCCGGGGAGGTGAAGTGACTCACTCAAGGTCACGCCGCAGGTCGGTGGCAGAGCTGGGCGGCTCAGAGCCCTGCCCGGGGGATATGGGGCTGCAGCCCCCCTCCCAACTGGCCACCCTGGGGTGCAGGGATAGGGCTGCCCATGTGCCCCACAGCTGTGATGGATGTTAAGGAGGCTGGCAGACGTGGTGGGGCTGCAGAGTCTGGCTTCCCCCCCAGCGCCCGAAGGGTTCTTCCCCCTTTCCTTGGAGCCGTCCTTGGCGGGTGCAGATTGGCCGTGCTGGGGTGTTCTGACCCTCTCCTTGTCCCTTGCTCGGTGGCCTTGTGCTGGGTGCCAAGGAAGGGGTGCGGAAAGGGCCAAGTGGGCGGCGTTGGCGAGGCCGTGGTTGAATCGCTGTGGAGTTTTGGAGGGGTGGAAGTGGGCGGGCGGGGGGTCCTCAGTGCTGGGGGGGTTCTCAGCTGCGGGGAGGAAGCGTTCCCAGGGTGGGAGAGCCGTGGGTGAGCCGTGGGTGCGCACGCAGCCGCCGGCTCCTGCCGTGAAGGTGGAATTTACCCCCAGCCGTGCAGGCCCCGCTCCTTTGTTTTCCGTCTCTGTTACTGCTGTGAAACTCTTTCCTTCCTTTTTCTGGCCGATGCTGCAGCTTCGGTTTTTTTAAGGGTTGGGTTTTTGAGGGTTTTTGTAACCTGCCTTGCTGAATTCTGGGAAGGGGCTGAGCCCCTTGCGGTGCCAGGGCTCAGAGAAGAGGCTGGTGGGGCACTGCTGTGCCCCTCCCTGTGGCGATGTGGCAAGGGCCAGGCCCGCAGGGACTGACCCGCAGTGCCCTTGGTGACCTTGACTTTTGGGAGCTGGTTTAACCCTATGGGGGCTGGAGGAGTGAGCTTGGACTGGAGCCCCTGTGGATCCCCAGTGCCAGAGGCTGCTGGTGTCCCATGGAGGGGTTGCAAGGTGCTGCCCATCCCAGCTGCGATGCAGAGCTGTGGGAGGGGGCTGGTTCTGGCAGCCTGGCCTAGGGGGGTCACAATGCACGCCCTGGCTTCAGGGCTGCAGATATTTCTGATGAGGCTGCACAGCTCTGCTCTGGTGTGGGCAGCGAGGTGAGGTGGACTGGGGAGCCAGGAGCCGGTGGAGCTCAGGGTACCCCCCTGCACAGAGCTGTGCCCCCCCCCAGACCAAGCACAGCGGGCGGAGGAGGGTGGGTGGGCTACGGTCTGGCACTGGCTGCGGGAAGCGGCTCCGCACCTCCCTGCCCACCGCAGGTTCCTCCGGTTGGTGATTCAGGAAGCCAGGGCTGAGCAGGAGGAACCGCCAGCACCTGGGGGGCGGCGGGGGGGCAGGAAACCACTCCTCCCATTCATGCTTTGCTGGGCTCTGCCTGCGTCACGCAGCCTCCGGAGCACGGGGAGAGCTGAGCCGCTTCCTCTGGGGGCGGCGGGGGGGCCGGGGCGCTGCCATCCCCTCCCCAGCCTTTGGGGAAGCGGCTGCCGGGCACGGGGGCTTCCTGGAAATGCTCCTGCACTTCCTTCCTCCCCACATGGCTGCCCCCGCTTTCCAGGGATGGCAGGCGTGCGATCCCACTGCCTCGGCTCTTCCTTCCCCCAGTCCCTCTGCCCAGGAGTGCTGAGGAGGGGGATGACACATCCTGCTCTTCCAGGGCTGCAGAAATGTGGCCGGGGGGCTCTGTCCCTCTGTCTGCCTTGGCACAGACAAACCCCGGGCATTGATGCAGGTGGCTGGATGGGGGGGCCCAGCTGGAGACCCCGCAGGGGCTTCGGGGGGCATTTCCTGCTCCCCCTCCTCATCCTTGTCCTGGCCTTGCCTTTTTGTCCATCTGGATCTCCCAGGATGGTTTCCTGGTGCCTGTTTGGGGGTGCTGCTCTCCCCATCCGGGCCAGGGGCTCGTTGGGGGCAGCTCCTGCTCTCTGCTAGCCCAGAGTTGAGGGCCCGGGGGTGTCTGGGGCTGGGGGCCGGGGTGACGCGGGGCCAGGCGTCGGAGCGAGGCGGGAATGCGGCGTTCTCTGAGTCATCGGCGTTTCTGAGAAGCAGCTGGGAGACACTTGCCCCATCCCTGCGGGCCCTGAGCCCGGTACAGTGCAGCTGAGCCCCTCAGGCCTTGGCAGGGTCCCAGGGGACCCCTATGTGCGGGGACTTTAGGGGGCTCAGTGGCCCCATCCCCCTCGGCGAGGCTGTCCCGGCCCCCGCGGTGGAACCGGCTGGGAGGGACGGGGTCCTCCCGGCGTGGGCGGCCGAGCGGGCGGCTGGGTGGGACGTGTTTGCATTGGAGCGGGCTGGTTTCGCCGGGGGGGGGGAGGTTGGCAGCGGCGTGGGGGCGGGTGCTGCGAGCCCCGGGGCTGGGGCGCCGCGGGGACCGGGCCGGCTCCGTGCCACGGCCCAGCCCCGGGGGTGCTGCGGGGGGCCGTGGGACCCCCGTGCCGGGGATGAACGGGGCGGGGTGGGGGGGAGTTGGTTCTTGGTGCTGCTGGGAAGTGTCGGCAGCGCTGGCCTGGCCGGGTTGGGGTGCTCTAGTTTCTCCCAGCGCTGGAGAGGGGTCAGGCAGGGCAGGGGTGAGTCAGAGGGAGCGGGAGGCGGCCGCGGGGCCGGTTGACGTCAGGAGGCCCCGGGGAGGTGCGCGGGGCTCCCCCGGGCACACCTGGGTGCAGAGCCGGGCCTGGAGGAGGGTGGCAGGGGCTGGGATGAGGCTGTGAAAGAGCCTGCTCAGGAACCCACTGGGAGCAGGACCCAGCTGGATCCCCTTCCCGTGCTTTGGTGAATGGTGCCTGGACGTGGCAATGGGGTCTCTGTGTGAAATGCACCTCCTACAGTGCCTCAGAGAGCAGCAGGAGGGCTGGGGTTGCCCGGCAGCCGTGGGGGGCTCCATACAAGGGGCTGTAGGTGGCCAGAGCTGGGATGGTGCCAAGCAGTGTGGATGGGGCTGCCAGCCTGGCATGAGGCCATCCAGGCTGCTATGGGAAGGGAAGCTGAGGCAGGACGGGGGCTGGGGTGTCGCTTTCCCACAGCCAGGTGCTCTGTGCACACACACGCGTGTGCACACGTGTGCCCGTGTGCACGCCCGCCGTCCTCTCCCGCCCCCTTGCCCCGTAACCTCCGTGTCCAGAGCTGCAGCGTCTCCTTCCCGCCCACCCCTTCCTCTGCAGCCTCCGCCTGACACGCTCGGGGCTTTGCTGCTGGTATTTTTAAAGCTGCTTTTCCCACGGCTTCTCAGAACCGGCCTCCGCGGCAGCGGGGCGTGGGGGAGCGGGGCCGGGGCTGGGGGGGCCCGGGGGGGCCCTACTCTGCAGTGCTGGGGACAGGGGAGTGCTGGGCCCTCTGGGGACCCCTCGATGGCTGCACCCCAAAGGTGCCATGAGGTGTAGGGGGGGGTGATATCAGGAGCTGCACGTGATAGGATGGGAAAGCCGTGCCCTGGAATAGTGAGGGAGGGTGTAGGGTGGAAAGGGGAGGGCATCATCCCCTGCCATCACCTGGCAGAGGTGAGAGGCACAGCCCCCCTGCAGCACACATGAGGGTGAGGGGGGGCTCACGGCTGTCCCAGCCCCCCCTACAATGTGGGGCAGCGCTTGGGGGGCTCGCCTGTTCCCTGGCACAGCTGCTAAGTGATTTATGCGACCGAGGGCAGGCTGAGGGGTGTGAGCTGGGGGGTGGCAGGTGTTGGGCATTGGGGGCCCGCCACAGCTGCAGCCCGGGGAGGGTCAGGCCCTGGCTCTTGTCTCCATCTGCAGCTGCTCCATCACCTGCCGGAGCTGGAGCCTCCGGGCTGGGCAGGGCCTGGCCCCCACCCCCAGCTGCCTTGGAGTGGGGGGAGGAGGGCAAGTGGGCTGCACTGCCTGAGTCACCGTGGTGGGCACGCAGGGACCTGGCATGTCCTCACCTGCCCCCTCCTCTTCTCCCTGTGCCAGCAGGGGCACCCCCTGGAGCTGGGGAGGGAGAATGCCCCTCCCGCTGGCCAGAGCAGCAGCACTGGCCCTTGGCCAGGCGTGCGGCTCTGGGCAGTCCCAGCTGCGGCCCCTGCCCGTCCCTGCCCGCCGGGATCAGCGCTGGGGAGGGTGGCCAGACAGGCACGGCTACTCAGTGGTGGAGAATAAAGGGCAGGAAGGGCAGAAGGAAGAAAAATACCCCCCGGCACCGTCAGCTGATGGAGCTGGCACCAGGCTGGGGTCGCGTGGGGACGGCAGCTGGGCTCTTCTGCCAGCCTGGCATGGGTGAGGGCCTGGGAAGGGCTGTGGGAAGGGGTCACCCCTTCTCTGCCCCAGTGACCCATCCCTATGGTTGAGGGAAACCTGTAGGGGCAACCACCATCCCCTGCTCAGCGCCAGGGGGGCAAGCACAGCCCTGCTGCTTGTGCCATGGCTGATGAGGGTCCTTTCTCTCTCTCTCTCCCCAGGTCAATGACTTCTTGTCGGGCCGGTCCCCTCTGACCCTGGCCCTGCGTGTGGGTGACCACATGATGTTCGTGCAGCTGCAGCTGGCAGCTCAGCAGAGCACTGGACAGCTCCAGCACCGGCACCTCATCGCCAGCCGCGGCGAGGCGGGGGCCAGCGCCAGCCCCCACTGCCGGACACTGCACGGTGCCAGCGGCTCAGGCTTCACCCGCATCCCTGTGGTCCCCACGTGCCAGCAGAGCCCGGCCCCCAGCCCCACGCCCGCCACGCCGGCCCCCCCCATGTACTGTAACGCCCCTCACGCCGCTCCCGTCACCGCCGGCATGTTCCGGTCGCACGGGGCCAGCACGCAGACGGTGAACAGCAGCGTGGTCTCCTCCTGCTCAGAGGTGAGTCTGGGAGTGTCCTGGAGCCTTTGGGAAAGAGGGGGGTGAAGCTGTGACTTTCCCAGCTCGGCTGTTGTTATGCCTGACCCTCCCTCGGTTTCCTCATTTGTGGAAATGGGTTGTCCCCAGTCTGGTCTCCAGAATGTCCCCAGGTCCCAGGGAGGGGCTCAAGGACAGGGTGTAACCTAGGCTCTTACCCTGCCTGTCCTCACACCCTGCCTGTCCCCATGGATGGGCAGGAGCTGCTGCTGTTGCTTCCCTTTCCCCCTCGCACAGCACAGCCCGCAGGGAGGCTGTTGGGACCCCCAGGGTGGTTCCAGGAGAACTGCAATTGGTGCCTGCTGCCCCTGCTCCCTGTCTGGGCTCTTGTCTGGCTCTGCAAGGCGGCAGAAGGTCAGGAGCAGAGTTGTGTGCCCCACCAGCCCCCTCCCCCGAGGCTGATGCCGTGTTTCTCCCCTCTCAGGTGGACTGTGGTTCCCGCAGCAGCAGCTCCCCGGGCAGCAGTCCGGCCCCCTCGGCCCGATCCCGCAAGCCCGGGGCGGTCATCGAGAGCTTCGTCAACCACGCGCCTGGGGTCTTCTCAGGGACCTTCTCCGGTACGTGCTGCTCAATTTCCAGAGGGCTCTGGGGGGGGGATGTTGGGGGCAATGGGGCTGTGGATCTGGGAGGGGCTGCTTGTCTCACACCCGCCTCTTTTCCCCCCTCTCCAGGCACTTTGCACCCCAACTGCCAGGACAGCAGCGGGCGGCCGCGGCGGGACATCGGCACCATCCTGCAGATCCTCAACGACCTCCTCAGCGCCACGAGACACTACCAGGGCATGCCCCAGTCCCTGACACAGCTCCGCTGTCAGACACAGTTCTCCTCCTCCTCCTCTTCCTCTTCCTCCTCCTCCTCGCCGCCTGCCTCTCCGGACCTCGCCACCAAAACTACCTCAGAGCCGCTGCCGGCGGCCGCCGCCCCCTCCCTGCACCCCGTCGTCCAGTGCCAAAGCCAGATCCGGATGTGCAAGCCCAGTGGTGAGTCCAGCTGCCCCTGAGTGGAGAGGGGTTGGAGTTTGAAGTTGGTTCCTCTTGGGGGTCCCTGGTCCATGGGATGAGCAGAGAGGGACTGAGAACTTGGATGATTGACAGGTGTCATTCGGGGGGGGTCGTGTGTTTGGGGATAATCAGCCCCCTTGGGGACTTAGGGAGGTCACCCCACGCACCCTGCATTGCCATCTCTGCCAAATCCTGTGGGGACAAAGCCTCCCTGTGTGGGTGGGGGTGCGGGGGAGTGGCAGGTGGCTGCAGTGTCCGTGTTGCCCTGGGAGCTCAGGGCCTCTCCCTGCTGTGTAGGCAGAGGTTTTGGGGTCACCCAGTCTCTGGCTCCCCCTTTCCAAACCCATCTCCCCACACTGGGGGTGAAATGGACCTGGCTGGGGGGCCTGGCCAAAGTGTAGCAGTGGCTCCCCTGGCATTTTTGGGTGCACAGCTGTGAGCCCCGGGGCCGGAAGGTGTCGCAGGCACCCATACTTGGACCCCCTGTGATTTGCTTAAAGGAAAGAAGTGAAACCACCAGTGCTTGCTCAGCCCCCTCAGGGCTTGCTCTTCCTTCTCTCCTAGGCAGGGGTGGTCCAGCTCCCCACAGGGGGTGGCTCCCTGCCGGCTCCAGCCCCTGCTGGTGTGGCCAGGTCTTCCAGGACCATCCCCAGCTCTGCTCTGGGCCAGGACCCCTCCCTATCCATCCATGGGGATAGAGGGGGTGTTGTGGTGGGGACCCTGCACCCCTAAAAGGGGCTGTAGGCCACTGAGGATCAGCCTCTTGCTGTACTAGCCACCCTATTTTTAGGATATCAAAGGGACTGTGCCATGGGGGACTCCATGACCACCCAGGATGTGGGTCAGGCAACCCTCCCATAACCATTGTGCCCTTTTCCTTTTGGAGGAAATGCTATAGGCGTAGCCCATTGGGGGCTACCTGGTGGGCCGTGTCCCCCCAGCCATGGATCAGGGAACCCCACTTTGACCCATCCTCCATTACAGAGAACACTGTACCCGTTATAGGGATATCAACATAGCAGGGCTGGCATGTCGCCCCATGGCATTGCCCCCCGTGACCCCTTTTCCCCTTTTTCCCCCTCGCAGGGGACCGGCTGCGGCAGACAGAGAACCGGGCGACGCGCTGCAAGGTGGAGCGGCTGCAGCTGCTGCTGCAGCAGAAGCGGCTGCGGCGGAAGGCGCGGAGGGACGCCAGGGCTCCGTACCACTGGGTGCCCAACCGCAAGGCCGGGCGCACCAACAGCAACAGCAGCGTCTCCAGCGAGGGCAGCCTGGACCTGGACTTCGAGGACTCGGTCTGGAAGCCGGAGGTCAAGGCCGAGATGAAATCCGAGTTTGTCGTAGCATAGAGAGCTGGGGCCCCGGGGGACTGTGCCGGGGGGTCCCGCTCGCCGCCCCCGCCGTGGGGAGGCAGTGCTGGTGTCACGGGCAGGGGCTCCTCGAGATTTGCTGTCTCCTGTGACCAGACGCCTCTTGGGCCGACCTGCGTGGCAGGGGGAGAGCCCCCACCACTCTGCTCGGTTGGGTTTGGGGCGATGGGGGGGGAGCAGCAGGAGCCGCCCCCTCCCTGCAGCCTCCCCAGCTTGGGGGTCCTGGCACCTGGGGGGGGTCCTGGGGCGTTTTGAAGCTGCTGCTTTGCTGTGAAGAGGGGCACAGCCGGGTGGGCACCAGCCCCACCTTGTGCCACCCCCCCCGGTGCAGGCAGGAGGAGATGAAGTCTCTCTCGGAGGTGCTGGAGCCCCCCCGATTTGGGGGCCGTTTGTTTTCCTTCCCTTCTATATGTAGCATTGCTCGGCTGTGGGGCTGGGCCCCCCCGGGGGGACACGCGTGCCTGGGCCCCACCGCCGCAGCCTGGGGAGGGGGGACGGGGGTGGGGGGGCTTTGTTTTTTGGGGGGGGTGTTAATTTTGTTTGGGGGAGGGAGAAGCCAAGACGCCTTCCCTCCGCGGCCGAGCCCAACTTCCGAGTCGCTGGACTCCTTCCCACCCGCCGCTTGGGTGGTTGGATTTTTTTTCTTTTTTAACTTAAAAAAAAAAAAAAAAAAGAAAAAAAAAAAAAAAAAAAAAACTTAATAAATAACCCCAAACGAGGTCCCGGCCGCGGGGCCGGTATTTATAGACATTAATGACCCGACTGAGCCAATACTGACATAGTCTTCATAGGCCGTAGGATCCTTTTTCTTGT